CCTTCCTTCCTTCCTTCCTTCCTTCCTTCCTTCCTTCCTTCCTTCCTTCCTATATATAATATAGTCTTGTGCCGTTTGCCTCCCCTCACAACCCTCAGGAGAGCAATGGTGACAACTCCTCCTCCTCAGCTGACCAGCAGAACTGCCTGCCACTTTGCTGGGAGGAGGTGGAACAAAGGGAACCATGGACCATGAGGAAAACTGCACCCCTGCTCCCCCATTCTGACATATCTCCAAGAGCCCCCTCCCTTGAGGGAGGAAGAGGGCTCACCAGTCAACCCCCCTCAGTCAGCCCTACCTTACTGGCAGGAATCCAAGTTGCTCCCCTATCCTTCCCTCAATGCCCACAGCTGTTAGGAAATTTCAATCTCTGCCTTGTTTCCAAAGCAGCCAATTGCCAGTCGCCCATGAGGCCTTGTCGCCAGCCGATCGGGCGCAGGATACAGGGAGGTGGGAAAAAGGTCAGGGATACACCCATGACAATCATGACCTGGTTTGAGCACAGTGGCGCAGCAGCACAGCAGTGCTGAAGAGCCACAAATTTCCCAAATTTCAATCCGACAGGAGTCATGGGTCCTGAATTTTGGATACATTCTGTAAGTTAGGCCATTTGAGGTATCTTGATTCAAAAATTGTTGCCCTGTGACACACCATTTTGCCCAGTTGAAGGTCACAGACACAAGGATTTTACTAGTATATAGATGACCTGCAGCTTGAATTGCACCCAGAAGCCTAGTGGCAACAATGCAGATTCCAAACTCATGGGCATAATGAGAATTGCCTGATACTGCTTATGTTACTGCATTCTAAACCATCTGTTGCTTCTAAATATCTTCAAGGGCAGCACCATGTAGAGTACATTCCAGTTATCCAGTCATGAGGTGAGATATTCACATAAGATGCAGTGGCCTCTGCAGACAACTGCAATGATGCCCATCAACAGCAAGGGCCACCATCATATCCTGACATCTGATGCAAATGTGCATGTTTTAGTGTTGGTGTGATGGTGTCATGCCTGGGATATCATTTGCCCTCCTTGCCCCTCCCTGGCAGATAACCATGGTAAGGCATTCCATCAGGCACTTTTTCTGATTTATTTGGATTGAAGCTCTTACCATTTCCACCAGAATAGTTACATTCCTTGGGGAGTCTTGGAGTTGTAAAATCCATTTTAGGAGCTTTATGCTTGGAAAGGCTATTTTAAAGGCATGGCCAATTGTCTTGGTGCTTTGAGTTAGTTGGGGTGCATCCAGTCATTATCTTGGGTTGCAGGAGATTCATAAGCGTGGGCCTTCCATTACTGATTTTCTCATTACTAAGTCCCTAATAAACCAGCTTAGCATAAGTTTGGTGAAGTTCATAGATGGAGCTAATCCGTAATATAGACAGCCAGTTTGGAGGCACCAGGAAACCCCTTGGAAATGGGAAGGAATGAAGCTCAAATCCTGAATATCTGAGTTCCATTCCTTCCCACCACTCAGGGAAATCATTGGTGGGGCTGGAGGAACAGAGCTCAGATCTTCAGGATTTGAGCTCTATTCCTGCACATTACCACATCCTCTCTGCTTGCAACCTTCCCCGCCAGTTTCCAATGGGGAACCTGGCAGAGAAGATTGCAAATGGCGATCACATGATCGTGGGGCGCTTGGCAACTGGTCATAAATGTGAGGCGGTTGCCAAGTGCCCAAAATGTGGCTATGTGACCGTGGGGAGGGGGGCAATGTTTTACGATGGCTGGCAAAAAATGACTTACATTTTTATAGCTTACAGCTTCAAAAATGAATGTATTTAAAGATTGATTCTATAATTATTGTCTTATATAATTTATCTAACTCATTTGCATCTAATTTTTCTTCTTAAAATTAGGATGATTATCATTATGTCAGCAATCTACACAATAAGTTTTTCTCCATACCCAGCTGTATTTTTTATTTATTTATTTATTTTTTTGCTGTGGCTTTCTTTTTAAGCGCTTTTAAAAATGAAATCTTTGGTTCATTGTTTTGGGGGGAAATAAATATTTTTCTTAGACTTTAGTTCTACAAATAGTTCAGGATTAATCCTAATTAAAATCCCAACTCCTCTGGTATATTAGAATATCTCGCATTGCAGAGTTGATTTAATCAATAGCACATTTGAGAAGGAAGCAAATTATTTAGGGAATTATATCAAAGACAGGCCAACATTATTTTTCCTGTGATTATTTATATATTTATTTGGAGCATCAGAACAACAAACATTCACCCCACATCTGTAATAAAATAGTTCCTGTTATAGGTGTTACACGTTCAACAGCCTAACACAAAAGGAAAGTGGATTGGGAGAGAGAAGGAAAAATATTAACTGGCATTTTAGTTTTGCAAGTAGGAGTCAAAAGTTGTTGGGTTCTCAATGGATCAGCAAGGTGTTCCAGCATTTTCTGCAGCTGAATGGCTTGGCTTCTGCCTGGAGATAGTTGATGGAAGCTTTCTCTTGCTGATGGGGGCTCTTCTTTCCTTCTCTCCTTCCCTGGACCTTATAGAATATTAGACACATTTGGAATAGCTTCAGGCACTGTAACAAAATCTGGATCTGACAAGAACTGAGGTCTTGGAAAGGAAACAATGAAGATGAATCTGTTGCTAAAAAGCTTGCAACTGTCCATATGCTGAAAGTAGACCTTAGTTGGTTCTTAAGTTCTCTTACTCAAAATGTTTTGCCTTTTGAAGAAATGATGTTGCAGAAATTGTTTACAAGAGAACAAGAAACCCAGGTAATCTTTCTGCTCCAGCAATCTTGAACTGCACTATAAACCTGTCACGAGTTATAAAAGTCTCACTGCATCTGTTTGTGTAATGCCATATTTGCAGGTCTCTGGTGCAGGTTCTCCACAGGCCCATCTTGAGACCCACCTGTTCAACATTGCCATCTTACCTTCAAGCTTGGAGTCACCTGTGTCCTCCCCCAGGTCTTCTTTTCACATGACTGTAAGTCCAGAATTACATTTCTCCAAGAATGCATGTTTCTTCAAAGGGGGTCACTGATAACAGAGCTGCATTTCAATTTTTATTTCTGTTTTTATAGATTTAAAGAGAGATTTCCAAGTGAGGAAGACTAGACGACTGAGCTGTTAATTTAATGAGGTCTGAGCAACCAATTCATTCCATGTGATTGATTCTCAGACTCTTTATTTCTGGGTATATCACGTTGACAAGTATTATTCAGAATTTAGCCAGGCTGCTACTTAGAAAGTTCTCCTTTTCATCCAGAATGGATAACCATGTTAAGAAAAGCAACTTTGCGGGGCCACATTTGGAATTTTGAGAGTATGTCGTGGATAGTCTCCCAAAGTGGCTATCAAGAGGAAATTTCCTATTTTCTTGTAGGCATGATAAGTCATAAAAACCCATTAATTTATTTAACAAATGTATACATTGCTGAAGGCAGACTGTTGAGGTAGCTTCCCACCACTTTCTTGACCATCTCTTTTTTCTGGGTGAAGGGTTCAGGGTTGGAGCCACCTACCATTTTTATTTCCTAAAAAAGCCTAGAGGACCTCAGTGATAAAGCCTGCTAGAAGCTGGATGATGCCTCCCCAGTCATATTGGTGTCCTTGAAGATCATGGCATCTATCCTGATTTCTGCCTATAGCATGTTGGGCATTGTGAGAATTGAATAATATTATATGCTTTTATTATAAAATTATACAAGCTTTTGAATGGGAAAGTGTGAAGGAACTAGGGCCATCCATGGGGAGAGGGTAGTCAAAAAAATCAAGATGGCATCACAATCATTTCATTGTGAGTGCTCTTTTGACATTTGGATCCTACCCTCCATGGATGCCCCAGGAAGGGGCCTCATTTTTCATTATCTTCTTCATAAAAGGGAATTGGTTCCTTCTCCATCATATACATAGTTTAGTTTAGTGGGATTGAATAGGGTTGGGGAGACCCAGATTCTGGGCTACTCCCTACCTCTCAGCCTATTAACCTATCTTAAAGGGAAGTTGTTTTGGAGAAAATTGGAGTAAGGAGGACTGTTTACATCACCTTATGCTCCTGGTGGATAGATGGAATGTGTTTCTAAGAAATGAATTAGTAAATAATTCAAGGTTGTGTATTTTCTTTCTGAATCAGAAGAATGCATGTGGTGCTAAGTCTATCCATTGAAAAAAATCAGTGTGAGTGACATCCATAGAGGTCCAGTAAAGGTTAGCAAATTTCTAGCACTTGGAAATCTTTGGTGAAGTTAATCTGCCTTGGAGTCTTTCGAGGTAATCATTTTCAGTGCTGACACATAACTCCCTTTCTCTAAACTGCCTGGTTCCTTCCATACAAAGAACTTTACCATATGAAATTTTAAAAGATTATAATGCTACTTCATTCCACCAATATACTGCAATCAGTATGATTTTTTAAAAAAATGTATGATGTGCTTAAATACCGCATGAGCAGTGTTATAAGCATGCAGAAAGTTTAACCCAACTAGTTTTCTTGGCAACAGCACTGTATGGAAGTACTTTGCTATTTCCCTTCCCCTGGATGTTTTTTTCAACTTCTTAGCTTTCCCTGTAGCCCTGGAATATCCTCTTATCTCTTTGAGATCGACATTCAGATCAGAACTCTTGATCACTGACATTCGTCTGAACTTTTTGAAAAGCGTTTTGGATGGGGAGGGCAAATGGGGTGGAGAAGCAGAGGTCAAGAGGATGCTTCACTATATCCTCACTGGCAATAGTACCTTGAAAGATGATTTGAGCCCTCTGTGCAGTTTGATTTAGAATGACAATAGATGGGTTTGGTGTCCACTGCAATTTTGATCCAGGAAGACCATCCATTGTGGTCTTCCTGGTTCAATCATCAGCCACTGTGCTGTTACTTACCTGTCAGTGTAATGTAAGGGCTGGCAATGAGGTGCATGGTATCCATGGAATTCATCCCCAAGAAAGAACAATGTCATTAAAAAAAGGCTGAACTCTTGTGAGATCATAAAATCTCCTATGATTTCAGGTTCTCTTGAGATTTCAGGAGAGAAGACCAGAATGTTATGAGATTTGAAGGTGGGAAGGTTGAAATCTTTGGAGGTTTGGTGCTCTCATAAGATTTTAGCCATATTTTAATATGTTTCTTTAAAGAATTATTATTATTTGACACTAGCACCATCAAGCAAAATTGCACAATGGTGCCCAGCACTTGAAAAAGTTGCAAATCCTTGGCATCTCATGTAGCTTAGATTATAGCCTGTATATGTACCATGGAAAAATGATTGCCTTGCTGTCTAATGTTAATTGGGTGGATGTGGGAGTGAGGGAACAAGGGGCAGGAGTCAAACCTCTTTTCAATGAATGGCATCTGACTCTTGAAGGGGACTTTTGTAAGATTGCCTACATAATTTAATGAATGCAATTTTCAGTCATGATTTATCGCTCCTTCTCTCTCTGACTTCTTCCCTCCCTTTTTTAAAGAGTGTTTCTATATTCTTGCCTTCCCTCTCTCTGCCTCCTTCCCTCCCTTCTTTCTAAGAGTGTTTCTATATTCTTGCCTCCATGACTAACTGAAGGTCAGACAATGTCATGCTTGTTAAAGACCTGTATGTTAGATTTGGAAGTCTGTTGGAACAATATATGGATTATACTGATTCTGATCAGCTCTATTGCTCATTTGTTCTGGCTCCTAAACCGCTTGGTCTTGGTGGCAGAAGGGTTGGATTAGGACCAGTGAGACCCAGGTTCAGGTTCACTCTCAGCCATGAAGCTCACAAGGTGACTGTGGGCCAGTCCATCTGTCTCAGACCAACTTCTTGTTGGAAAACATTTGAGGAGGGAACATTATGTATACCGCCTTGGATGGATGGATGGATGGATGGATGGATGGATGGATGGATGGATGGATTGCACTTATATGGCTGCCTATCTCATATGATGACTCTAGGTGGCTCACAACACTCCATAAAAAAACATGGTTAAAAACAAAAGTAT